TGAAAGACTCCCAGGGCCGGTTTTCTCGAAGCAATGGTAAACCCATTTTGGTAAACCACGGAGCCTAGGTAGGAAAAAGTACCTAGGTACTGTAATAAGCGGCTGGATATAGAACAACAATAATTATTTTTGATTGGGCAGTAAGATGCGCGATCTATCGGCGAAACAAGCCAGTCATTTTGTTTATCCTCTTTTTCTGCTGGTTGTTATCGATCTAGTATTGTATTTTAAGTCAAAATATAGTAATGTTGTACTCAAAGACCAGATTATTTGCTTCAGATGGTACGAAAAAATTTTAGCTACTATGCTAGAGTTTGTCGACGAATATTCGAAAATGTAATAAACATTTCCTTCAATATATTTCGCCATAAACAACGCATAACTTTCCCGTGTGCCTTCCAGGCTGGCAACGCCGGTGCTGTGGTCTCGTTTTGTTCCTTGCTACGCACGTTTCTGCGATTCCTGCTGATCTCAACTGTTTGCCCTCTCTTCCGTTTGCCCAACCGACCCACTCGTGACGAGAAGCTAAGTTTCTTGTCACCGTTGAATTGCTGGCCACCGGGAATATGTATAAACCTCGATGCTGTCGGCATACTGTCAGCGCACTGTGAACAAAAAAAAAGTATAATGTCCCAGCTGTTCACCCGGAACAAACACTTCATCGAGGAGAACCCCCTTTCTGCGCAACGTACCTTATTTACTCGAATCTAGGCCGATAGTTTTTCCAAAAAAATTAAATCCGAAACTCGGGGGTCGGCCTAGATACGAGGATCCGGCTCCGCCATGACCGCGGGACGCCATCTTGTCTAAATCGCTTCGGGAAGATACGCTGTGTACCACGGAACGCACGGAACGTTCGTCTCTACTCGACGCTATGGCATCGACCAGTCGATGCCACTACTCCGCGGCTTTTAAGAGGAAAGTTGTCTTGCCTGCTGAACACTCGTCCAACCTGCAAGCCCAGCGCGACTTCGGCGTGGACGAAAAAATTGTGCGTCGCTGGAGAAAGCAGCGTGGTCAGCTCTTTGCATGTGCGGCAACAAGAATGGCGTTCTCAGGACCGCGGAAGGGAAGGCACCACGAGCTGGATCGCGGCCGCATGGGACGACATCCCGGCGGAACTGATAGTAAAGTCGTTCCGAAAGTGTTGCATCTCGAATGCCCTGGACGGTACGGATGACCACGCGTTGTGGGAAGTGGACAGTGACAAAGATACGAGTGAGGACGACGAATGATCAGGAAAAATGCGGACATTAACCGTGAGCATGCCGTCGGATTAGTGACTGAAATAGTGCTGTACATTGCAGATAAATTCCGTTCTGTGTTTAATTTATGGTGTTTTTCCTATACTTTTTGGTCGGCCAAGAATCGAGAATTTTTTTTCGGCCCTGCCATTTTTGCGGGGTCGGCCTAGAATCGATGCCGGCTTAGAATCGAGTAAATACGGTAATCGCTGCTCACGAGTTGGCGTGCATAGTGTAACAAATTAAACGTGTTAGTATAAATATATACCAACACTCGTTCGCAAAACATTTCTTTACTCACCATAAAAACACTTGCAAGGCTTATGTGCCATCATATGTCTTGGATCTCGGACTGCTGAAGAGTGATGCGTTCGCGGAATGCTGCCGTCAGTTAGTTCAGTAGTCCCTCTGAACTACTGCTTTGCTTGACGTGCTATTAGGTTGATGGTGCGTCATTAATATAACAGCCGGATTGAAATGAATGTTCAGAACCAAGCAGAACTATTAGCCCTCATTAAGCAACGTCGCGGCCATTTTGCTTGTAGGTACTGCTCCTCCCTTAGCGCCCCTGCTCTCCGAGTCACGTGACCTAGAATTCCCCCTTCTAGGGACAATAGTTAACTTTAACCCACGGTTATGTTCGAGAAAACGGGCCCAGGAGGTCTAGCTTGACCATAATGTGTTTATTGCGGCGAGCAAAGTGCCCTTCGTTTTTCCATCACTTAAAAACAAATATTTTTATTTTTCTAAGAATATCTGCTCCAAAAGCCACTTTTGCTGCTCCAAAACACTGTTTTGGCTGCTCCGAAAGGTGCTCCAAAACGGGTTAGGTCAATCACACCACTGCTGTTGCCACCCGGAGGAGCTGGAGGAACGTAGACATGCGCGACGGGACTGCCACCCCAGGAGAGTGGAAGGAAAGGAAATTAGGCGTGCATGCGCTTGGAACGTTGACAAAGAGAGGGCGGTGCGAAACATAAGAGTTTTTGGTCATGCAGACGAAAAATCCACAGAACCCTAGCCATAAACATCTTCGCTGTAAAAGAACGCAGCTGTTGACAGCTGAGATGTCATGCAGCAAAAAAACAACAGCAAACCCACTTTATCAGGATATTGTACGATCCTATCAAATAGTCTGATTTGTTAGCTCCAAGCGTTCTGACATTGTACCGTAACATCCCGAGAGATAGCCCACCTAAAATTGAAAGCCAATCGAGTGAAAATAAGGAGTAAGCTTACTTTCGCTGTGTGATCAAAGAAAGTAAAGAAAATGCTCGTTTATATTGTGTGACCTGCGAAACTTGCGATTGCAGGGACAGTCGTCTTTGGTTCATCACCTCAATGAACCAAAGACCACTTTTCTTCCCAGCCAGCAGTGTTCGCTTACCTCTTGTCGTGGCTAAGTTACACCATTTCTGCAAGTTCGCCATTGGCCAGGGCTGTGCAATTACCAGAAGTACCAAAATGAGGACGGGTTATCTTTCGGGGCGTGACTTGGGACATTACGGTAGTCGTGGGCAAACTGCTGCTTCTTGATGGGGTCTGTGACTATGTATCTCCTCCTTTTTCCCCTCCGTTCTGCAAGCACGTGCTTGTTGGCAGAATGTGCAAAGCCTACCTTGTGTACAGGTTTTTCCATTCAAGATATCAATCATTTTGATCCTGTAGCCACCGCACCTCTTTTTGTCTTTTTTTCTTATTCGAAATTATTCAACTCAGATGGGAATCCCCGACAATCTTTTTGCGTAGATGCCATGTTCGCAGAGCTCTGTCTTCTCGGAACACTATCTCCTTGGCTGCATGTTTGTTCATAATAAATCGCCATCACATGCGAAAACAGAAAGACTATACAAAAACTACAACTAGAGTGTCTTGTCTAACCACTAAATGCATTGTCCACAAGGCCAAACAGCCCTGACTTTCACGCGAGACTAATAAAGAACATGAACACCGAAACCGAAACAAGCCTTACCGATACGCAGTTGTCGATGTTTCGGGCTTATTTGACGAATCGTCGCTGTCGGAACTAAAATCTGATTATCTGACATCATCTCCCACCTCGCTCGGCTAGTATCAGCAACAATATCGACCACAGACGCCCTTGAATCGCAAGAGTTCAAAGGCTTCCGAGGAGGCGTGCCACACAATGAAGACGCCATGTTTGCAAAACGGAGCGTTCTCTCTCGGCTGCGTGTTTAGTTTTGATAAAGGAACTGCGCCCGGACCTCGCTCAAGCTGCTGTAGCACCAGGTCATGGGGGGCATGGACATCTTGATGTTGCTCCAACTACAGCAGCAACAGTACCCGCTCAACAGGCTACCTAACCTAACCTAACCTAAATAGTGCATTCTGCATATTCTAAAGTGTATGCGTGCCAAATTTGGTTGTGATAGGACAAATTCTTGTGTACAAACTGTGAAGATGCCCCAAAATTACATAAAACGAAAAACGTGTTTGGATGTTACCATAGATGTGTAGCTATACTTTTTCGCTGTGCATGAAATAATATTTTGTTCATAAATTTCCGTGAGAAATTCAAGTCACAGAAGACTGCATTGGAGAGGAGACGGCTGGGCCTGCTTGTCAGAGTAAATGTGATGGCGTGCGACGTTATACCTTAAAGAACCACGCAGAGAAAAATGGCTCAAATTCATGCTGCTCTGGGTTTTCTGGAGGTCATTCTGATGCGTCTTTGACTAATTTCGCAAGCAGAACAAACACTAATTTTATACATCAAATATAAATGTTTTAAAATAAGAGAACACCATAGAACCAATTAAATCACATTTTTCCTAAATATTCCTGTTTTTCTTCCCGAAAGTTCGGCGATTATTTCTTGGTCTATTTGTGTTCAAGGGAGCAGTATCACATCAGACACACCAATCTCTCGTTGAAAAAGACATGAAAAGGAATTTTAAACAAGTTAAACGATTAGCAAAGAGCACCTGGTGGATTTCGCTAACGCCTTGTTGGTAATGCCCGTCTAGGAACCTTGAGAGGTAGTGACAGTAACTCGCTCGCCTAGAATTATGCATGCTTTGAACCTGACGTCATCGGGATTCTTTTGTGTGTCTCAGACGTCGCTATTGTCCCTCTACAAGATTATAGAAGATTAACCCATTACTCAAAATTCGTACAAAAGCAGCTTTGGGGTTAGTTGCGGTGGCCCGATCGCCAGCATGCTTCGGCCGCTTCGGTGGCTTGAACGGCTAGGACATCCCGTCGACGTCAGCCTCGCTGCAGCTTTGTTTGTCCCGAGACGATCTATGTCACGATTGTACCGGATGTCATGTGCTCCCCATTGGCCGCTCTCCGAACGCTTGCCAGAATGGGCCATTTAAAACGAAAAATACAGCCATCAGGCTCAAAATACAAACGTGCGATTGTCATTTACGGATATTGTGGATCATATTCAGCCTATTTCTGAACACGATGGGTATATTTCAAATTTTGTTGAAGTATCCCTCTAAAAAGGATTAATGAATTTTAGGTAATCAGAACCTGAAATAACTTTCCCAAGTTGTTTCATTAGCACAAGGGATTCTTTTGTGTGTCTCAGTTTGTTGGTTCAACTCTCCTCAGGGACAAAGTGAATTTCGCAAAAAAAACCTGGCAGCACTATCGTGCATATTTTTACAACTTTTTGAGACGCCTTAGTTTTAAAAGTCAGCCCTAAAACACATTCTGCGTTGACATGGACGGCTTTAGAAGGTTACTGGTAAGTGCATGGTGAGAGTGAAATTGTGTGCATTGCAGGAGTCTGCCCCGCTGGCCAGCCTGCCACTGCTGGGCTACACTGTGACGGTCCCCGGGCCAGACGACAACATGAGCAAGGAGTTTGTCTTCAAGCTGCAATACCGGAACCACGTGTACTTCTTCCGCGCCGAGAGCGAGTATGCCTTCGACAGGTACGTCGTGCCTGCCGTTCGGGTTGGTCGCACGTCTGCCAACGGGCGGTACCAGTCGGCCTCCAAAGTTGCGGATGCCCTGTCTTCATTACCTTTGACTAAAGCAGAGTACACATGACTGATGAAGACGGGTGCGACAGTATTATAGCATCCGGTACTGGCGTCCTTACGTCAATTCCGATCGGCGCCACGGCTCTCGAATCTGGTTGATGCAGATAATATGCGCGGTGCGTCTGTGGTACACCTAGCCAGGTTTCACTGCTCATTTGTGCCACGCTTAAGGAATTATCACCATGAAAGATGCTCAGCTGGTTCTGCAATCACCGCCTCCAGGCACAAGTTTTTTTCTTCAGAAAGAACACTAAACTAACCAGTTTGCAATTCTATGTGACATGTGGAGCTGGGGGTTTCACAGGGAAGCTGTATAGGACTCATAGGTCAGGTTTCTTTGTGTCCATGGACAGAAAACCATCCCGCACATCTTATCACTGTTTGTGCCTGCCTTATTATTTATCGTGTGGTTTTGACACTTGTTTGATTAAGAAAACCACAAAACAAGTATCAAACCATGTGATGATCATAAGGCACACAGAAACGATGATAAGCGGTGAAGATTGTGGCTGCATAAGCTAATGTGCCGACGGCAGCATACAAAGTCTATCATATATAAAAAAGTTTGGTACGGTGCATCTACTTTTTTTTCGTGAATCATTTGGTATAGACCCTTTTGCTGTTGACAAACATGAACTGCCGCTTGGGTCCCAAGCGACTTCCAGTGGCACAGTCTTTGCAAGCCTGTTGAGCTTGCTTACGTCACCAGTCCCAGAAAGCATAAATTCTACACGGACAACTCAGTTGGAGAGTTAACGAGGGTCTTCAACTATACAATATTACATCTTGGAGGAGGCAAGTTGGTTTACAAGAATGCTCGAAACATTTTACAGATCTCACACCCCTTTGTTCTTTTATCGTTCACCTGGAGAATTAGTGGTTAAACGTTTCATCTACATTTCAAGCAGTGGGGTTAAGGTGGCCTTTGTTCATTTTTTTTTATATACCGGAAGTTCTCCTCTGGAATGTCAAAGACTGGAGAACTACCTGGTGGCATTTTCCATATAAAATATCTATAGTGCAGTAGACAATCGTTTTAATACCTTAATTTTTTGGGGGGGAGGGGGGGAATGTTTAAAATTAAAATGAAATGACCAGTTTGAAATTTCCATTTTTACTGTTCCTCGTGCCATTGAAGCGACATCTCCGCGATATTAGAGTAGAATCTCGTGAATTTGAACTCGAGGGGGACCAGAACTTTGTTTTAATAATGCAAAGTTTGAATTGCCAAGAGCTTCAATCCTAGAAATACATGGAACTGGACCTGCATGTTAGTTTGAATTATCTGCAAGTTTGAATTAAGGGGAGACACTCCCTGGGAGGGTCAACTTTTGAACCCTTGGCTTAAAATTAATGAAATTTACAGGGTAGGCTGGTGGTCATGCTAGAGGGTGCATAACAAAATTTTAGGTCTGTCGGTTTAGTGGGAAGGAAATTAGGGCAGCTTCTATCAGCAGCACCCCTACACTGTTTAGTTAATCTATCGTCAGAAAACTATCACAATATTAAAGATTTTTATTCGCTAGATATGTAGCAAAATGCCTAGGAGGTGTGCCTATGGAAAGCTTTTTGTAAAAGGTCATTGATTTCTATCAATTTTCTCTTCTGCGAAATTGGTCTACTTTTTGGTCTTCTGTGTCTCCGACAAAAAGTCAACATTTTTTATAAAAGACATCCGTAAAGTGACAAACAAACTCCATAGGCACATTCCTTATTAAATTTCAGTCAGGAAAAGGGAAGAACGAGCCTTGCCTGTATTTTCATTCTCAAACGATAGATTGACTAAAATGAAATTTATACAAAAAGGTTCAATGGAGAAAAATGTGTTCAAAGTGCTCCAAACCCTACCTTTCCTTTAGCTTTGGTGGACAGAAAATAATTTATAAAAAATTAACTATGCAGTGTAAACTAGCGAAAATTTCTGGGAATACTCTCTGTATGTAGATGGATGTAAATATGTAATCTTTAAAAATCAATGTTTTTTGAAGAATCTTTTTTTCTCCGGGTAGTGTCCCCCCTTAACCAGATTCCACTGTGTGTAGAGCTACAAAATTCTCCATGTGACAAGTGTGCCACGAACGAGGGACCGATTTGACTCGGCAGCATTAGAATGGTGGATGTTGCGCTGCTGGACGGAGTTTCTCAAATGTCTGCCGCATATTCGAGCCATTGGAGTCTAACCTTTGCTCTGTGTGCTGCGAAATTTATTGTGAAATTCATTTCGATCATTTTAACCGCCAAGCCCAACCCAATATGAGATTCCGGATCTCTGCTTTAAGGCACAGCTGCTCTCAATGTGTATGGATTCTGAGCCCTCAAAAATGTCTCGGCATTTAGTTGAGCATCCTCTTACATTTTTTTCAAAGGTTAGGGTAATCTTGAAGACATAGCTGGCGTAGTTTGCTGCTTGAGTTGACTCTTCAACTTATTTGTTTCTTTGTGCGCTTTCCTTGAGCCAGCCAGTTCTCTGTGTAAATTATTGCTTTTAATGCACTCTTCTTAAATGGAACCTGAAAAGACAGAAAAATTTGTTTTATTTATCAGAAGTTACATTTAAGCAAAGCACATAAAATGTGTGATATATGACTTTATTTCACAAGCATGATGTGCAGCTAATGTTGCTGACTAGAAAAAAGATTTAATGGTAGTTTGTTTTGCATTTTGTAATCGTCTTTTGACGAAGTAGGTGTGCATGCCTTGGAGGTTACGCAGAAATTCCGCACAGCCTTCAGACCCTAAGTAGCGCTGCAAGAGAGCAACAGCCTCCTTCGCTGTGCAGTCTGGCACTGCAGCAGGACTGGGGTCACTGCATTCCACGTCCTCTTCACTGGAGCTCGAGGTCTCCTCACCTTGAACTTCAGCTACCATCTCTTTAATGCTCTCTTCACGGCATGTGGCGACATTTGCATCTAATGTTTCATAATCATGTTGCCTGAAGGAAGTGGAAGAGACCAGCTGACCAAAAAGGGTGTCAGCATCAGCAGTATCCCCTTCTTTGTCGGGAATGACTTCTTGTCTTGCGAAACCTGCGTGGTGAAAGCATCTTTGCACGGTCGACACTTTAACTTGGTCCCAGGCATAGGTCAACATGTGAAGTGCCGAAAGCAAAATCACACTATAGCTTTTCTTACTGTCTGCACAAACAATCATTCGGCGGATTAAATGGCGGCGGTAGTACATTTTCAGGTTCTGAATAACACCGTGGTCCGTTGGCTGGATTACTGCAGTTGCGTTCGGTGGCAGGAACCCGAGGCAGATGGACTCAAGCCCATCCACTTCACCATGGGTGGGGCAGTTGTCTACAATAAAGACGACTTTCATGCCCTCACGGGTAAATCTCGCATCATGTTCTTGCAGCCAGGTTTCGAAAATCGTTTGCACCATGTAAGCTTTTCTGTTTGCATAAGGGACGGGCAGCTCCCGTATGCCTTTACTGCACACTGAGGAATCGCGCCTACTGGATACGTTGTCCAGCTGCTTCTTTTGTCGTCGTAGTTTTCCACGCTCTGCTTTTCTTTGCTGCTTTCTTCGACTTTGCAGTACCACACCCTTGAAACAACGAGGGTTTTGCGCTTTTCCCATAACCACCAGCCTCAACTTATCACTGCCGTTCATGTTGGCACCTACCAGCACTGCAGTGATGTGATTTCTGCGCCAATTGCGCCAAACTGCGCCAAGGGCCTAACCCTGCTACATGCTGCTACATTTTGCCGAAATATGGGTGATCTGCGCCAAGCCTGCGCCAAAGGAACATTTTCGCTCGCATTTCAAAACCGAAACTAAAGTGAATGCTGTAACTGAGCATGCGTGAGCTAGGTGGCGCAAGCGTCCGCCCGACAGAAAGTACTCTGCATCAATTGTCCATCCGGTCTTACATGGTTTTTCCCGCCAACTCTCGTTTCGCGCTCTCGTCGTCTCGTGAATCTCGTCTCGTCGGCTTTTTAAAATTGATTCAACTGTAGACGCTGTAGATGCGGGCTTGTGCGTACGCTCCGACGCAAGTGTGCCGGATACCAGCCATGCCGTCATGCTGTGAAACGAAACCACGTTTTTGCGCAACGCGAGGTACATTATGAGCTGAAGCACTCGCTCCTGTAATCAAACGCCTTGGGAAAACTATATTTGGTCCCTGTCTGCCAGTCACCGTGGTCGCGCAAACTCAAGTGTTGCCGTCCCCACGTCACTCAAGGTGTGGCGCTTTCTAAACTGTAACGTAAAGACCGCCGCATGTTCATCAACATTCCTGTTCTTGTTTAAATCATACTCTACTACAAAAATCTTTCTTAACTCAAATACTGCTGTGTCGAAGTATTGATTACCTAGGTTTCTCTCGGTGGGCTTTCTTTTCAGAGGGACCCCGGTACATGAAAAATCTGCCGCAAAAGAAAGTTGAAGAGAACTGAGCTAAAGCAAAGAATGCAATGTCTGCACGCTGAACCCGCACAGCGCGCTTGCTTGTCTCGAGTTCAGCCGTTGCACAAAGCGCTCCAAGAAATTTTTGACTCCATGGCTCGCGACGTTATGCATCGATGCGCTCAGGTTCTTCTTTCCCGTGTGTTTAGCCTGTTTAGCTTCTGTCACCTGTATTCACCAGGCGCGACTAACTAGCACCGTTCTAAGGTTAGTAGCACGACTAAGTAGTCGCTAGCCAAACGAGAAATCCGCGACTAACGAGCGATTATGTTCTGCAGTATTCACGAGCGCGAAGCGAGCGGGTGACTATCTATTCAGAACTAACAAGCGGAAGAGACGTAAAAAGATAGGACACGGATATGCATACTTCAACGCAACTGCGTAAATGGGTATTTTTTTCGTATAAAAACTATACTTTAAAGGTTTATCAGGAAAAAAAAAGTTATAATGAGAGACATATTGTCCGAGACAGAGTTTTACAAAGAAAAATTTAAAAACAACGCCAGGGAGAAACACGGAAGCTGCATTGCGAGCGACATAAACAAATATGGAAGCGCCCGTAAATGTGTTTTTTCTCGTCGTCCAGCGCCCTGCTGAGATCTCTTTAGCGGCATCTCGGACCACTGAACATGACTATTTACGCATTATTTGCTTCTCCAATTCTTTCTAGATGTGCCCCCAGGGTTCCGAGAGAGTAAGGGGTTCGTTAGCGCTGGCGGTCAGCGGTGCTATACGAGTTGGCCATGGCGCTGAGCCGCTAGTGACCCGCTAAACACCGGCTAAACTAGCCCTACCCCATCACTAAGATTTGTCAGTCGACTCTTTAGTCGTGCGGGGGGACTATGCCCTAAACACGACCGGTGAATACCAAGCGCTCACCTAGCGGCGACTATCGCTTGCCACGTGATAATTTCAGTCGATGACGTCACTAGTCAGTGGTTAAACAGGTGCTACTCGCGCCTTGTGAATACGGGTGCGTTTTTTGTCGTATATATGCTGGACAGTTACATTTTACTTTGCATACAATTTTGGAAACCAGTTGGTGACGGAGTGGAGAGTCATGGTTTTCGTTTCGATCGAACAGCCATCTCCGCTCGCGCGACGAAGCACAGGCAGCTGCAAGCTTGCGGAAGTTGCCCTCCTGTGCATGCGGACATGAATGCACGGCAGAGGCACCCTCTGGGACGCTTGCAATCCATTGTTTTACGTTTGCTTCCTTTTGACGAAAATCCGGCACGTCGGGATCTAGTAAAACGTTGGCGAGCGGTTTTCCCGAATTGCTCGGCAATGGCTTCAGCAATGTATGTATACACTTGTGAGATGTCTCAATGTCTCTTTGGAGGCATTGCATATGGACATTCATTACTAGCCAAAGGCAAAGCGAGGCTTGCAGCAGCCTTGCTAACAATTACGAAAAGCAAAAAAAAAAGCACCTGCTAGTCGTAATGCACTTTTGTCTTGTGTACAATTCCGCATTTCACTGAAGTAGTTACGTGTTTCACCAGCCTAAGACTGCTTCCATATATTATATGACTGGTCAACCTAATGCTGTCGATATTGACTACTTAGCTGGTCATTTTCAAATAAGGTTTAATATGTGCAGTTTGGTTTATATTTATTTATGACGGGTAGTACATATATATGTATCATTTAATTCAAGCATTGCGAAATCGGTCATGTCATTGGCATTTCAGTTACATGTTCAAAGACTCCCAGATGGTCTAACTTGGCCGTAATTTGTTTATTGCAGCGAGCAAAGCACCCTTCGTTTGTCCAGCACCTAAAAGGAATATTTTTATTTTTCTAGAATATCTGCTCCAAAAAACACTTTTTCTGCTCCAAAACACTGTTTTGGCTGCTCCAAAAGCTACTTTTTCTGCTTCAAAACACTGCCTTGGCTACTCCAAAAGCGACTTTTGCTGCTCCAAAACACTGTTTTGGCTGCTCCGAAAGGTGCTCCGAAACGGCTTAGGCCAATCACATCACTGGCACTGTGATGCGCTCTTTATTTCGCTTACCCCCAGTACAGATTTCTCCTTTGAAGGTGAGGATCTTGGTTGGGAGCGGCTTGTAGAACAGTCCCAGCTCGTCGACGTTGTATACCTCTCGTGCTTCAAAGGTTTACAAAATTTCTTGCAACCGCCCCTGCTGCCAGTTGCTACAAAGGTTTCTGTTGACTGCTGCACTTTCCCCAGAAATATTCTTAAAAGACTAGGCCGTGCCGCTTTTTAAAACTGCTGAGCCAACTATCGCTCATTGAAGTTGTCCATTTTCAAGTGAGACGCAATCTCCCCAGCCTTTTCTTCGAGAATAGAGCCACTGATCGGGAAATTAGCATTTCGCGCGCGCTTAAGCCATAAAAAAAGGACGTTCTCTTTTTCTTCAAAAGGCGTCTTTCGCATCCGCCTTCGTTCAGTGGCAAAGCTTCCGCGTTTTACAGCGCCTTGAATCTTTTTTTTGTCCTTTGATATCCTTGAGAGTGTAGACTTCGGGATATCAAACTTCTTTGCGATCTCCGTCTTCGAGAGGTCACCACGATCCAGCTGTTGAAGGATCTTCATTTTTGTAGCAGTTGAAATCGCTTGGTGCGGTTGCTTTTTTACCAGCGTACGCAAGCGGACGCTGGTAGGCGTCCGCTTGCGTACTCGATGGTAAACGTGACGCGCAACAAGTTCAAAACGATGCGCTAACCCTAATGGCGACAGAAACACTGGATTGTATTGCCTTATTTGGATGGGCTTGGATGGATGGATGGATGGTAGTGGCTGTACCCTTTGTAACGGGTGGCAGCTTGCGCCCCCTAGCCTAACATTTCGTCATCCCTTCTTTTTTTAATATTTGTATAAATTTTGTTCGAACAGATCCCCTTCCGCTTTTAAAGTGTTCTCCGTCTTGGCTATTGCATACTTCATGGTTGTGAGACTGCTGTAGCAATTTCTGATGTCCGCGGTTGCCATCGATAGTTTCGGTATTGGTCCCGTTTAACTGAAGTAAGCAAAAAAGGGGGTTCCGATTACTCGAAGAATTTATCATTAAATACATAGGAAACCAACCGAGACACCGTTTATCCGAATTTTCCGTTTAAGCGAGTTTCGTTTAATGGGAGTCCATACTTATATATGGGACTTTTTTTGTTAACATAATATTTTCATTAAGAATTTTCAGTGATTGGAATCTATGTTTTTGCTAAATGACTGTGTGTCTCTTTTTGTTTTTCAGATGGATGGAGGTCATCAGCAGTGCAGCCGTAAAAAAACTAAACTGAACTGCAACGTTTTCCTGCTCGTCGTATCAAGGGCAACATCAAAAACACGCACGTGTCTTAGCTTGCAAGCAAGCGCAAGAAGTAATTTTGGATGCATATATGTTTGCGCACTCTTTATAAATTGATGCACATTAAGTTGTTGCGCTCAACAGCCTTATATACTATAAGTTTGTCATTTTCACGTTTGGGAGGCCTGTGCAGTTTCCTCCCAAAATGCCGACCAAGAAGCAGAAAGGAGGAAACTCCCTCAATTCCCCTTTCTGAAGGAGGTAGCGAGAAACCAGCTTCTGTGGGGAGAGTAGGAGAGAAGGAAACTGGGAACCGGTTTTCTTCCCAGCAGATTCTCTAAGTCAGCCTTTAAGGCTGACATTAACTTTAGAGTACTCTGCCTTGATGTGCAGAAAATTTCGTGGAAAGCTTTCTTCTGTATGTGAAGCAAGCATTGAACAAAGCACTTGTCAAACATTGTTGAGTGTCCTTTAAAGCCCATGAGGGTCATTTGACCTCTTTTCCTACTTTTTGGTTTACTTTTCTACTGCTACTTGTCTGTAAAGATGACTTTGCCAGTCTAACGTGCGTAATATTTGGGGCCATCCATGATGAAATGACAAAACTGCCTTTGCATGGCAGAGCTGAAATGTACAGAGGGTGTCGTATTTTGCGTGAACAAGCGATTGCTGCTTTTTTCCATTTTTCCCCCAATGCCTCGTTCGAGCAAAGTGCAAAAAAAGCAACAATGCCGTGTTCATGCTGCGTTGCAAAGCGTAACAGTTATCATGTAATTTCATGCGGCATGATGTTTTCTCAGGATTTTGTTGGCCTACATTGAGTGCTTGTGCAGCAAATTACATGATTTTTGTGAATTTTATATTTGTAAGGGTGACAGTTTGCACTGAGGCAAATGGCTATAAGTTTTTTTTTGTTGCAAATTGTGATAAAGGTTTTAATTTTTCCGAGTGATATTTGATGCATAATATTGGAGTGAAGTATGCTTCCCTTTTTGCGGTAGTAGCACCTTATTCAAAAGCTCTTTCTGTATGTGTATCTCTTCATGAACCTGAATATTGCAGAAAGCTTAAATTAACTTTTGTGAGAACCTAATTTTTTTAGATTTTAAAAATGTTACAAAAATATTATCCCCTAATGAGTATCATACCATGCCACTCGCAGTCACTAAATTTGGTGCTCATGAAATATTCCCAATACAGTCTAAGCTCGTTATAACAGACCCCGTTTTTGACCAAGATTTCGGTCTGTTGTAGAAGGAGTATGTTGTATGCAGATATGAAGTTGAGTCATTGGTGCATAGAGGAAAACCAGCCGAACCTCACAAATCGGTATGTTATATCCAAATGTCTGTTGTAACCAGGTCTGTTGTAATGAGCTTAGACTGTAGTGGCACCTCGCAAAATTCGTGAAATACTCTGCCTGCGAAAATAAAGTTGTTGACTGTTCTATAAATACTGTCATGTAGTTCAGTTTTCTCAGCTAAGGCTTCTAGTAGTACTGAAAAAGCTTCAATAGCCTTCAGTTATTTGCGAGACCTAAAAAAGTGTGAGGGGCTTTTGTTCTCTTTCTTTTAGGTATGAGTACACTAATGGGTTTTCAACACACCCACAATACAGTTTGTGCAATCTTTTGTTTTTATACAGTGAACCCGTAAGAGTCCTCGTTAGTGTCTGTTTGACTGATTTATTGGCTGCCGGTGGCTTTCTTGAATGTTTTTCCTGTTAGTCCATTCTTGTCCATTCCTCGCTGGGACAGCAGCAGAAGCGAGCATTTCCATTTTCTTCTTTATCAAACGTTTTTGGCGGCCACCTATTTTTGTAATGTTGTACTCTTTCGTGCTTTCACATGAGCTGCGATGTGCTTGATACTGGTTGTCACGTTCTTTCTTATGTCTGTATGTCAAGCCACAGGGCCGGCCTTAGAAGTGGCCGACCTGGCAGGTTGCCCAGGGTGCCACCAAAAGAGGGGCACTGCCACACCCTTCTCTTGAATTGTTTTTGGCTTTTTGATTTATTTGAACACACCACCCGACACGATGCTATGTGCTCGATCGCCGTTCGTCCTTGGAATGCAGTTCTCGTCTGACAAAACGCTTGTGTTGGGCCACTACTCGCATGTTTACTAACAATGTGATGTCATACCTAGTGCATAGGGGCGTATAAAAAGGGGTGGGGGGAGGGTATGGCCGGAGTTTGCCCAGGGCGCCAGGTGGTGTAGGGCCGGCCCTGTCATGGTACCTTGAAATTGTAAACGTAATGAAAGAAAGTGTTAAAAATTATGGAGGTGTAATAAAATTTGTACTTTGCTTATTTTGTGTTTTTATTTTCAATTTGTTTATTTTATTTTTAGTTATTTATTGATACTATCGGCAGCCATGGGACAGCAAGATAGGAAAGATATACATTGTTCACAATAAAAAATATACAGGGTGTGTTAGTGCACCAGGAAATAAAAGAAAAATCGCATCATGTAGATCAGGAACTGAACAGAAAAGAATTCTCTCAATGGGGCCACATTTTATCGTTTTTTTTTTAAGTCGCAATCCACGTTCTGGCGCACAGGTAGACAGTCGCTCAGTAATTCTGAGCGCACAAAAAATACACTCTCACCGCGCTGAACTATCAACTTTTCATATGTATTCCGTCAAAATTCTTCGACCCCAAGAGGGTGCCAGCTATCCTAAAACACAAGAGAGAAGAAAAGAAGGAGAAAATGAAGGAGAATAATAATAACACCCCAAAAATCTAAGAGTCGCAAAAATTACAAAAAAAACAACGTTAAAACAAAAATCGTGTACTTTATTTTAATGTCCTTTTAATGATGCGTCTAAACTGTCGGATTTGCGCTGGGATCCGAGCAGGTGGAAGGTCGATTTTAGAGCCGATTGGCAAAATCTTGATAAGTCCGGAACCCATATCGAGGATTTCTGCCGACGACGAGTCGATTTCGCCACCCGGCTCCAAAATCCCCTTTCCACGACCTGTGCGGATCCGCCCACGAATCCACAAGTGTAAATGCGCCAAGAGCCGTTGTCGTGTAAAGTTAAACTACTATCATGCGACGCAAACCGGTGACCTTCCGCGACATGAAACAATGAGCGAAAAGAGCGCCGACACTAAAATCTTCGCTGTATTTATGGCGAGTTTGCGTGCTGCTTTTTGTGCGCACTCGAGCGCTCTTCCCAGAGCGCGCGAGATCGAGATCGACCCCCGCCGCGTGAGCCCCCGTACCCACACGCAGGGGGCACCTGCTTTAGTATAGGTGCTCGGTGAGTGGCGTCGCCGCGAACCCCGAGCCATGTGGGTTTATCCACCCACGCCTGGCTCTGCGTGGCTTAACCCGTGTCCGGGAAAGGGGGATCATGGTAATTGAGCTGAGCCACGTTTGGACCCTTCAAGGTCCCCCAAGCAAAGAAATATACCGCTTCGGCCCCTGCTTCTCGTAGACGTGTCCTGGCTTGGCCCAACCAGGATGACTAAGTCAGTCGCCTCTCCTACCCTTTTCTTCCTTCTTTCGCTATTCTTTCCACCCTTTCTCTTTGCTGCTACACTCCCTTCCCTTTTTAACTTCTTAGGTGGCAAGGGCCAACCTTGGGTGGAAAAAAGGTCCCGTCCCTGCAACCACACTATACTCCGTTTCAAACATAGCGTGCAATGTTTTTTTTTTATAGTTGATAGTGCCCGGGCAGCACTGGTAGAGTAAGTTATGCCAGCCAAGCTTTTCTTATTATGGCAATTACCTACCCCCTTTTCGGGCCCCGTGGTGGGTGGTGCACCCGAGCTCCAGATCTTTCCCATTAGTTATGGGTTTTCAAGCTAAGAAGTCTTTTGATCGGGCCCCGAAAAGGGTCCGCACCGAAGTCCCTATGAAAGACATGACCTCTTCTCCTGCCCTACGTTCCCCAAAGTTTTCGTTATTAGCTCAAAGATGGCCCCTTTTCTTGTTGCGAAAGTGCTAAAAAGTATTGTCGGGAAGAACTTCAAAACCAAAAATGATGCCCTTAGGCGATCTACTTGTGGATATTGAAACCAGACAGCAGAGTATTGCACTTCTTGCCTTGAACCCTGTGTCTGATCACAAATTGACTGTTACACCTCATCGTACACTGAATACTATTCAAAGAGTTATCTCAGAGGACGGTCTGCGACACTGAAATACCGACCAAGTAGTTGTTGGTGCACCAAATTGCGCCGTGAGCGAAAGTCTGCTACATCTTGCGCAAAGGTGCCATTTTGACTAAGAATTGCGCCGCACCTGCGCCGAGTAGGGGAAAACAAAAAAAATTTAATATATTTTTTTATTGGTTGACTTTAATATTCAAAGAAGTAGGAGGAAAGAAAAACAGTAAAAATATGTATTTCACAGCGTCTCTACTTACCGTATGCGTTGTTTCATCTTAGGTCAGAGCAGAGTCGAAGGCTCGAACACATATAACACGAACAGACTGGCCGAGGTTGAGCAGTTTCGCGTGGCTCCTGGAGAGCCGTGCTGCGCATGCGCGACGAGCAGTGACGGAACGGGCAGGATTGGTATGGCGCCTAAGTCAGTCCCCGATGCGCGCGCCGCGCACATGCACCCGCTTGAGATATCTAACTGGGATGGCTCGCGCTGTCTGGTTGTTCTGGGCGGCAGCTTGGTTGCTTGATACATAACAACACGGCGCACAGCCAGGGCCGGTTTGCTCATCTTGCGGCCGCGGCTGCGGCCAAGAGGGATTTTTCTGTCACGTGACCAGCTCCACGGGGACAGGGAAGTACTTAGCGTCCCTGCCCTAATGGCGGAGAAATCCGTATCGCTTCAAGCACAAAAGACTAATTTCGCTCGCAGATACTGACTGCAGGGGCTTTCAACTATAGTCGGTTGCAAGCTAAGAAAAAACCGGAAATGCCTCTCAGAGGAAAATGTAATCCTACGCCGAGAAACGCCAGCGAATTGTTTTCATGACGTCACGATTCTGTGGACCAATCGCGATCCTTTTGAAAAAAAAAAAAAAAGCTCAACATGGCTGCTGGCCTTAGCAACGCGATGCTATAGTTTCTCGTGACAATTATTCTGCTTTTTTGCACCGTGTTTTACGTGCCCGAGGTTACGCCACGAAATCTTGATGGTATCGGCTTGCGTTTGCAGCAGTTTTTGCGCGACAACGTGAGAATCCAGCGACGCTATCGCCAACGAAAATTTCGAAGCGGGCGCGAGGCTTAGCACTGCTGAGAGGTATGTTAAACGGTATGTTAGACAGTATCTTGGACAGAAAATGAATTGGGAAGACGGTACATTGGACATGAATTTCTTTCTTTCTTTACTAAACAGCTATTTCGTTGACAAAAACGTATTCTAACTTATTTAAATGTCCTGAATGAATTAAATAAATATTGTAGTAGTTTAAGACAGGTTTCCTGGAGGAAGAAAAAGCAACGTTGCTAGCGAACTACTTTCTCGACGGCGGAGGCACTTCAGATGGGCGCAATGCGCTTGTGGGTGGAGCTAAAAGATTGTTCTTAGGTTGCATCCGACTATAGTCCAATTGACCGCCCCTTTGTACTGTAGGAGCGGCAGGTAAGGTTACGGCCAGGAAGGGTAAATATGAGCCAAAATAAAGAAAAAAAAACAAAAAAAACACGGGAGATAAAAGCGGTGGCAGTATATGTATATACCTCCGCCAGTGCCGGCGGCTCGCGTCTTATGCTGTGGTCGAGAGGTTAGAGCGCCGGTACTTGTCGACGCGGCGTGGAAGTTCCGGGTTCAAACCACGCTAGAAACTTTTTTTTTGTTATTGTTTTGCGCGTGTCTTATTTTTTAACTGTGATCCTTTTTACGAATCATCCACTTGCACTACTGCGCCTTACACTGTTTTTACTGTTAGTCCCACCTGTTCAATGGAAACACCGGGAAGAAAAAAAAAGATCAAGGCAAGTTAACGCGCTAATACAGTCGTTTCATAATGTTCATTAAAAGGAAACCAAGGTAACAGCGTCGGTATGGCTTTCACACAAACGGAGCCGGAACAAGCATCATTTCCCCAGCAACTATAATTTTATCTGTTTTTAAATATACAACGCTCTTGCTAAGGCTTATTTAGCACTAATAAAAACTGCAGTTGTGACAATTAAAAAAAAAAACTTCCACAAAAGAAGAAAAAGTAATAAAGACTATCAGCTGGGGATGCATTGATTGAGCGAAATCCTACTGGCAAGGCAGCAAGTCAAACGTCTGAGAAAGTAGTAAAACCAAAATAAATCAGATCATACTTTGACTTGCATGGAAGGTGATAAAAGGTATGCGGAGGGCAAGTTCGTCTGCTCTTGCGCAGGGGGTAGCGGTATGGTGCCTCGATTGCGTCTTCGACTGGTGTGTTTACCGCCCTATCCCGCCCATACATCAAAAGTGGTCCCAATGTGGCAACAAATGACGCGAGTGTCATGCTGTTGCCTGTCGCGATCCTGGCGGTTGGCCATAGAAATGCTGGCGAAAAGCACTAGCGGACTCGAGTGTCGCTGTCGTCACAGAGTCGCTTTAGGCGTCCCAACTTCCGGCTGCCCTAACTTCCGTGAACTGTCACAATGGAAAGCGACCTGCAGCAGAACAGGCGTCTGCCACACTTACCACAACTAGGGATGTCGCGAACCACCCTAGGTTCGATTTCGAAAGGTTTCGATATTTGCGAAGCGAACTGAGGTTCGATTTCGAAAATTTCGATATTTTCGTACCGACCGAGGTTCGATTTCGAAAAATTCGCAACTTTTGACCACAGCGGAGTTTCGAATTCGAAAATTTCGAAGCCTTCACTTTTTCCAAAATTTCGAATTCGAATATTTCGAATATTTTTTTACCTCAGGTTCGATAAATTCGAAGATCTCGAAATTCTTTGTAAAAAAAATTCGAAAACTTCGAACGCTTCGAATTTTTATAGACATGAAGTTCGAACAATTCGAAGATTTCGCATTTCTTTTTGCATAAAGTTCGAAAAGTTCGAAGGTTTCGATTCTCTTTTAACGCTAAATTAAAAAAAAAAAATTTCGAAGATTTTGAATTTCTTTCTAATCCTAGTTTTCAAAGTTCGAAGTCCGATTTTCAAGTTTTTCCACAGTTTCAGTTTCAAATAACGTTTTCACGACTCACTGGTTTTCACGAAATCAAGTTTAGAAAACTTAGGGTGCGATATCTAGATTCTGCGAAGTTGGTCAGGCAATTAAATGAGACGACGAGTGTCCCGGATGGTGCTGGAATATTTGGCAGTGCAGAATTGTGACCGCCAGCCCCCGGGGGGGGGGGGGGGGGGGGGGGGGGGGTGTCTTTAACCTGCATCACG